TGATTTCTATTAAAATATTGAATAAAAACGTGAAAATTCGATTGTATTATAAACAAGACCACTTTTTGATTCCAACATGATACTTTTGTACAGAGAAAACAGGACAACTTTCATGTATTTTGATTTCTCTTATAAATTTACATTTAACAATCCGTTATCCCCAAAGCCAATGAGAATGCGGCAAATAATAGGTCGATTTTCTAGCTGTTAAATTTAATAGCGCGGATTTGTCTGTATTTTGCAAGAAAATAGAATATAAAATACATTCCTCATCTTCCTTTACATCATAATAGTAATCATTTATTAATTTATGGGTTAATGAATTTCTTCAAAGCAATAAAAACGTTATGTCCTCTCCGTCCTAAAACACAGATAATATGTGTAAGATGATTCAATCCCTACATCTCCGTGATGCATAATGCAATTACTGTGGACGTAGACAAAAAATTACGAAAATTTTCTCACAACTTATGTCTTTTAACTCCATTGGCGGGGATATCTGTCCGTCACTCGCAGGGTTGTCAAGTCTAACGATGATCACGTCCCGTTGTGTCACTTCATATTTTACAGTGTTTTGTTTTGAATACTTTGATGTTATTTGCTGCCAAAAATTTGACATAGAGATCTTGAGGATGATTGGGTATATTTAACGGACTGTTTGGTACTCGTATCCTATTGGTGCGGAATAACGGTTTGTTAAATTGCGAAATGCACCCTTAGTCGATTTTTTTTACCCATTTCATATTGATGACGTAACCAAAAAAGACCATGAAAATAACTATAGAACTTGCAGTAAAAAAGCGTGTTGGAACAAAGCGGACTCAAGTGGTTTTTGATATGAACGATTCAATAATTGTATAAGCTTCTCTTCCAATCTATTTGACTTATTTTAGGCGGTGTTACTTCTGAAGGTCACTGGATCGTTGCCTTATTGTACGAAGAGCCAGCACGCGCATATCTAACTACAGATATCAGTTGTTTTTAAATCAATAAATCCAGCAATTAACAAGCTAATTAACCAATTAATCACTTGCAGATTTCCAATTCAAAGTTACACTTCGGTCGAGATAAAGATTGAGACACAACAGTGTCAGTTGTTCATGCAACATTCATGCTATCAGCTTTGTACAGGTTAGGAAATTTCTAAACTGGACATTGTTGTCTTGATGCGTGTTTAGGCAGAAGCCTAAATACTAGGGCATGGCGACTGCTATGAGGAGCTTAAAGAAACTTTGTTAATCCGCGTTTTGATTTTGAACTGCCTAAGGTTAGAAGAACGGGGAAAGGCCTCTCATGTAGATTGTTATTGCTTCATATTGATCAACATTTTAATATATAATCGGTGCATTAATTTCAATAATCAATGGATTTTCTCCGTTTTTTTTTTTAAGTGCATGTCTCGAAATACAAATTCAACGTTCTAAGTAGTTTTTTCAATTATGTTGTATTAGATTAAAATTGTCGTACAATATTCTTTGCATTGCGTCCTTAGGAAGAAAATAAACATAAAAGCTCGACATACACAAAGAGCAAACTTTCTCTGTGACCTGAATTTCTATTTCAAGATCCATTTTTCGCACTTGCTTACGCTTCAGAAGAAAAATTATCTTTGCATTAATCATTATCAACTGTCCCGTTTTAAAATTACCTCAGTTGTATACATATTAAATGATACGAAAAAATCAATAAACTCATTAAATGATGATGATGATATAAGAAGTGATGGTTCAATGGAAATATTTTTTTGTTTGTAATAGCAATCGCTATAACTGTGCAAAAAAGATGAGTATATTATTGTCATCATGTTATAAAGTGAGTATTTGTTGTTTCAATATAAGTGTGTACCTGTAGGTATAGTTTTATATCAAAAAGTGCGAAATATTTGGATGGCTATTAGTTAATTGATCATGCATTATTATTCCTTAGAAAACCTAGATGTTACTATAAGTTGAAGCGGAAACAGAGGTACCATGAGCCCAGTAACAGTGATACAAGATAAGCCAAACTTTTGCAAACTCAGTTTGACATGCAGTCAAGACGTAGACATTTGACGCAAATATCGTCTAAAACCCTCTCCAGACTCACGCGCGAATCACGGCGTGAAATCGCGGCTCGGATCGCGGTGCGAATCCCGAAATTTCTTCCTACAGTTCCACACTCGCAGATGTTCGCGCCTGCTTCACATTATAGTTCGCGGTCTTGACGAGTATGGATGGTGAAATTGCTACTGCTGCTGCAGTGCTACTTTGCGCTTTGGCATTTTATAATTACGCATATATAAGTAAAACTAGAGCAATTGAAAATAAGTGGAAAAAACACAACCACTCCCGACACTCGCTATGAGGCAACTGAACCACCAGCGAATGTGGAGCCTAGTCATGCTCGCGCCTTGCGAACCCTTTGTCGCGGGACAAAAAACCGACACCAAACGGGAACAACGCGCGAACGCGACGTGAAGCCGCGAAGAATACGCGAATGGGATCCACACTCATGGATCGCGGGTAGTTCGCGGCTTCGCGCGCGAATCGCGCGTGAGTCTGGAGAGGGCATAAGCTTATGGAAAAATGCGTGAATATTCTCAGATAGCTGGGAAGCCAAAACAAAGCAACCTTGTTCTGGAGCCAGGGTTACAAGGAAATGAAAAGAAGAATGAGCTAGTCCGAAAAAAGTGTGTAGCTAATAGGGATTTTCTACGGTGCGGCCTGAACAAGAATGAAGTTGTTCTTATTTGGCTATCTCATAGTTTGAAAATGCCGCCAAATAAAAGTGTAGTTCCAGCATTTGAGACATGTGCTGCCATCTATCAGTGTTGAATCGAAAAAGCAGTTACCTGGAGTAGATAGCTGTATGGAGCAACGCTAGGTTCGTTCTCAGACGCAGGTTTGAAAATAGCCCATGAAATAGAGTCCTGGAAAATAATGTCCTATCTCCAATCTCGAATAATACGAGGGATGTCTTTTAAGTTTTGCAAATGGAAATAAAACAACACGTTAGGTAGTTTTAAATGACTTTACTATTTTTTGAAGCATTCTTCACGAAGATTAATACACATCTGCATGCGCTCGAACCAATTTTCGAAGCACTTATTCCACTCGTTTGCTGGCAGATACAAAACGGCATTTTTAAATGCATCATCTGCTTCTTCTGGTAACTGGAACCTTTGACCACGCAGTCTGTTTTTAATTTTCGGGAAAGTAAATAAATCGTTAGGACTTAGATCGGGACTATATGGAGGATGGCCCAATAATTCCACGTTTTCTTCCGTTAAATACTGCCTTGTTTTTTGGACTGTGTGCGAGCTTGCATTGTCTTGGTGGAGGATGATTCTTCTTTCGGGGTTGATTTTTCGAAGCTCGTTGTTGACTTTTGGTAAACAAATGGTGGTATACCAATCCGCAGTAACAGTTCTTTGCTCATTAAGAGGAATTGTTGGAATATGACCCGCTTTTGACACAAATGTCGCGACCATCTTATTCGAAACACTTCGAGAACGGATGACTTTTGTTGGCTTTGAGATCTTCAAGGACGCCTCAATCTCGCGATATGTCATATGTCAATCTTCAATGATGAGTTTGCGCACAGCACCGACGTTTTTCTGGGTGACTGCCATTTTTGGTGCACCCACCCTGGGATCGTCGCTAAGATTCACCCCTCCACGTTTGAATTCTCCATATCAACGGCAAATTGCCGACTGATCTGGCGCTTCGTTGCCGAAAACAGACAGTAACTTGGTGACACTTAAAAATTCACTGTAATGAGAACACTGTACGTATTGTTGTGAAACTTTGAATTTAAGTTCACTAAAGAGTGAGGTTAAGATTCAGTACTGACGTTCGATCCGCGCGGCCTACTATGTTTCTAAATATATGCAAAACTTAAAAGACATCCCTCGTATCTGAGCACTAGAAAGGCTTGAGAAAATCGGCATCAATGATTATGAGTACATAAATATTTGCTCCCGTTCATTTTTCGGAGAAGTTCTAATCGGTGAACACATCATCTGTTTGAACCATTCATCACATAGGGCTGTTTGGATGTCTGTCAGATGGGCTTCTGCACCAATGAATTCGAATAGATTAGGAGTCAGAACTATATGTTTACATGGCTTTGTTTGTCGCCAAATTTGAGTAATTCTAATGTATACTTTTGACTCATTCATCTACCAATGCCTGTCAAAGTTACAGGGTTGTATCAACATAATAATAATACACATGGAAACATCTACATTTAATAGGCTTGTGCAAATTATATAAGTTATACAGTCCATGTCTTAGAATCATCTAACACCACATTTATCTGCAAACACTCGCACTTTTAAAAATTAACACTAAATATATACGAATTTAATGACACAACTGTCAAAAAATGTATTTACCGAAAACGTCCTCCTTTTTCAGGAATTTTTAAAATAATCCATATCATCCCTTACTCTGCTTTCCATGTACATATTGTTTTTTGTGCGTACCGCAGGTGCAGACTGGCAGATGAACGGGTCATTACCGCATCATCGGTAAAGAAATAACGAAACCAAAGATGGTCTGTGTTTAATTAAATATTAGAAACTACTACCAGGTGATAAAGCTTCAAGTCCAGAGATAAAATAGAAAAATACAATTTTAAAATCCAGAATTAAGAAAGGAGTTTCTAGGATAGCTGCAAAGGAGTTTGAAGAACGACCAGTATGCTCAATGTATAAGTTGCACTAAATCAGTCAGTATTTAATAGGGAAAAGATAGCTTCAAAAAACCTGTATTGTATATACGCGCGCAAAATAAAAATATACTATTTTTCATAAACGACGCAAAGGCCCTTAAACCATGGCTGATCTTGCGATGGCCCTTATACTTCCTCTTACCGATTTTGAATATATCAAATTTCAACGGCACGATCTACCGATCTCGTCTTTTTCTGTTCGGCAACACTGCTTCTACCCTATGCGCAGAGGAATTAAATTGTTTTTGAACTGGCTCTGTGAACAAATATTTGCAGCTTCGTCATTACGCGTATAGATGGCATCACAACCGGGAAAGTAAGGTTGACAGGAACTTTCAAAAATTAAAAAAAGTGCGGTTAGCTCCACTCATATGAAACTTGATTTATGTTTGAGCAATTAAAATTCCGATTAACGGGAAGATAAAGGTAATAGTGCTTTCGTCGTTCTTCGAAGGTGTTCGTCGTTCCAATCTAATAATTATATCGCCCGACATCTTTCAATTTAGGTATATTAAAAATGTCGGAAAAATTTTCCCATATAAAAGAGACCTTGAACAAGTCGCTGAAAGACAACAGTAAACCCTGGACTCCACTTTTAACACAAATTGAACAAAATACCGGGGTGGACAGGTTGTACGTTTTCTTAGGTACGTAATTTTAGATTACTCCATTTTTTACAGTGATTGAAAGATTGGAATCAGTCCAAACGTGTTTTTTGCTGCAGTATATTTTTACTTTATCCCCCAGAATACTTAATCCAGTTTCTGATTTATGTAATAGAAAATACGTTTTATTCCAAATACCCGACTTGAATACAGGTGTTGAGTCTAAAGCATTTCATGAGTATTGGTTGGAATGTTGTACCAATTCAGATGAAGAAGTCATAATTCACATTCATGATTACTTGTTCAGTATTTAATTTACACTCAAAAATCCTTGAATACATCCTACATCAATAATTGATATGAGATTTTTTTCAGAACTAAAGTAGGTACCTATCTAACTTAAATATCAGTAATAAATGATGAATCACTATGTCATTTCCTCAGTGTTTACTAGATAGATATATAAGTTAAGCCTATCTGCCTGCATTATCTTATAGAACAAACCTTAATCTACAATATCATATATTCAACCCTAGTTAGTTTTATGCATATTCTTGTGATTGTAAGAGAAATGCAACTAGTGTTTTCAGAATTTTTACATGAGCCTCAATCTAACATCAGTTTACCAACAATGTTTGTAAATTTTGTACATTTTGCTAAAATTTAATTGTGATATATGCTTCTTAAGCATATTTTTACTATTAAACATTTATTCCTAGTTGTAAATTGGATGATTGCATTACTTCAGTACATTAGTGTTCTGATATTGATTGCCCCAAGTAATTATACACACATGAAAGTTATTTTCTAACTCATTTAATAAATGGATTCATGGGACACATTCATTAATTTCAGTTTTTGTGTACCTGATATGCAGCATAGATATGTTTCATGCTTTCAGAAGATTGACTTCAAAGATATAAAATAGCAAGTATTTCATTGTATTTCTCGGGCAAAAAAAATCGGAAAAATTTGAACAGATTTTGTGTGCATTTTCGATTTTTTTTTATAAAGTTCCAGTTCTCTATTTCCCAAAAAATTATAGTGTTTTATATCCTCCAACAAGTGAATCAGCAGAATGAAATTGAACCAAACTCTTCAGTGAGGTGTCACCACTTCATTTGAAGTAGACAATCAGCCTGCATAGTGTCGTTTTTTCTTTGAGAGTCTAAAGAACACTTTATTGATTAAAAACAATAAAATAATACATACTATACTTGAAGCCTGATTTACTTTAGGTTTTAATCCATAATAAAGATGCGGAATTTTCCTTCTTAATATTATCACATTTTAAATATTAGTTCCAAAAATAAGTCTGATAAAAGTTGTGCTTGTCATTTGTCAGATAAATTTCTCTGGAGAATACCACATATGGAAAAACCTTCATCAAACTCACAAATTCAACAGTATTGTTCTAATTATATTCTTATGGTTTCTCAAGGGTGCCTAAAAATGTCCAAAAATGTACACCAAGTGCTATATTGTCATCGTTACCACAATTGTAGAATGCCTGTATGACTTCCTTGATTTTCATACTCTTTTCTCTCATTCAGAAAGGCTGGGGTATTTCTTGGTTTCTACTGTTCCGTGTCAGAGTCGGCGCTCTCCTACAGTGAGGTTATGTTTTCTTTTTGAATCTTAAGAAACTTCAGGCTGATAAAAATCAAGGTTTAACACGCTGAAATTTCTTAAAATTCAAGAAGAAAATATAACATCAAAAAAGAGCGCTGACAATAGAAATCTAGAAAACCCATGCCTTTCTGACAGATAGTAAAAACTATTAAAATCAAGGAGGCCATAAAGGCGTCCTACAATTGTAGGAAAGACTGATGGCACGCCTAAATATACTAAAATTTTACGGAAAAAAACCCCGCCCATGTGGTTTGCAAAACTCTAACTTTCGAGGTAGTAGTTGTTCTTTTGTCACACACTTCAGGCAACTGTTTGAGAAAAAGCGTTTAAAATCCATATAAGACAGTGCATTTTTGTGGTTATACAATAAATACATTTCCTTTATAGAGAAATAATGTGCAACTTTCCCTTTACATTGAAAGCCATTTTATATATTTGCTCAACAAGTGGTTTAATGAAGGCTACACTAGTGGAATGCATGATTTATGAAAATTATTTTTGTTTTTAATACACTCAAGAATCTTTTGAAGAAATGCATCAAGTTCCATAAAATGCTGATTCAACTTTCTTGACATGATATTTCCAGGTTCTTTGGGATTCATAGCATTCTGGCTGATTTGGGGCTTTGCAGCTCAGCTAGTATGTAACTGTGTTGGCTTCATTTACCCAGCATACACCTCGATAAAAGCCATTGAATCAAAGTCGCAGGAAGATGATACCAAATGGCTCACATATTGGGTGGTATTTGCCGTTTTCTCCATAGTTGAATTCTTTGCTGATATTATTGTGGGCTGGTTCCCCTTATATTGGCTTGTGAAGGTAAGCACGAGAAACTTGCTACATTCGTTTACAGGCTACAAAATTCTTGAAGTCTAAACTCCCGCAGCTTGAAAATGAAAAAAGCCCATTCAAATTATTTTGTTTCAGTATTGGACTTTTGACTAATTGACTATTTTCCAGTTCGTTTTTCTTGTGTGGTTAATGGCCCCAGGCAGCTACAACGGATCTGTGATCGTGTACAACAGAATCATAAGGCCTTACTTCTTGAAACACCATGCTGTCATCGACAATACGATCAACAGCATAAAAGAGAACGGTAATTTTGCGAATGGTATCACGAGGAGTCCAACGTCAGAAATGCGATTGCTGTGGCCCGCCTCGCACAACAGAACTTTATAGAGGTCGCTAAGGTGCGCAACAAACTATACAGTTCGCGATGACGCGCTTGTTTGGGATGAAGGTGTCTGTTTTTCTTGCTTGGCCAGTATAATGAGTCTAGTGATAGAAACGATCGTTTTAAATAAAAATAGTGTGATTCATTAAGCTATTGCCAATATATCATTTATTTCATTATGCCCTAAAGTGATCATGAAGTCGACAAAGCAACTTTAAGGATCTTAAAAATTTCGCCCACTTCAAAAAAGTTTTAAACTACACCCGAAAATCATCGGAAACCCAAAGTACATATCAAAAACAAGTTTTAGGGCGATTCGAAATTTTCCGTTTTTTCTCAGAAGTGGGCCGAATTTTACAATCAACAAAGCGTTTTCGTCGTTGGATAGGAATAACTTTGCGTAAAACTTCAATTAAAAACCCAAGCAGTACTTTGCAAGTTATAGAGAGGACAAGGATTACCAGATACTAAACATACAGCAGAGACGGAAACAATACTAAGCATTTTTTGTTGATAGATACCTGAAAAGGCTGTGGTTTAATTAATTTTGAGCTAATCTGTATTGTGTTCAACTTTCGTCAATGAATGTGTAGAATGTTGCAAGCTGTGTGCTTTATAATGGGGTATTTTCAAGTATATTTCAATGGAATAACAGTATTTTATCTTCAAAAGGTATTTTGAGTTTTTCGCATTTTTCTATCAACGACGTAAAATTTGTCGTCAAAAGTTCTAGCGTAGACTATCACCCCAAGACAACATTCTATCGATATCTGAATTGAGAAGTAAATCCTATTGCTTGATTCCTTTGACGGAGAATGAATTCTTTTCCATTAAAACGAGGACAAAATCCAACACCTTTGAAGAGTTTTGTAAATAATTTATTTCGGCTATCAGAAATACAATTTTGTCTATGAGTTTTTTGATGATATTCAATATTTCCACTGTATATATTTGCACATTCTCATTTATTTATTCTACCTTGTTCAAACGTGTAGTGGGGCGTAACTTGTGTTGGGCTCGCTATCTTACATGCACCGCTTTCTGACGTTTGGCTTTTGCAGTATTTTGCATACACTCTTAATGCCAAAGGTGTCTTATTTCAAGCTATCCCTATCCCCTACTTCAATCTATACTCGTATTAACCCATATTTTCACAATGGCTCAAAATCTCCGACTACTAAAAAATATAAACCTCTTGATTTGTTTATAGAATCAAAAATAAGTCGTTGCGCACATGTCTTCATTATTAATTTCACAAACATGAAAAAAATGACTGCGTATAAAAATGAAGAAAATTGGAATGACATGTCGTCAACACGAAAACGCACAATGTCACATTCAAATAATCTTAATATCGATAACTGTGACGTTGTCAATTGTTGTGGCTACAGAGTCGACTTGTCGCATTGGATTTTTGCTAAAAATAACATATCAATCAATCATGGAACATATATAGCTGAGTACATATGAATACCTCATTGTTAACTTATTAATAGGTACCAACTACAGGCAGAAAGCATTTTCGGATATTTACTAGCTTTCATTGAGGGAATTGCGATATGGCGAATTTCCGAGATGTCTGAAAAAATCGGAATGTCTATATTTTTTAGTAATCGGTGCTCAAACTACACCAATACAAGTCACATGTGATGGCAGTGACTATCGAAGAGATTGCCTTGCTGTGGCTATATTTGTGCTTCATATTTGATTTTTTGTATAGCTCAAGTTCTAGTTGTCGAGCTATCATGACACTGACCAAAGTTTTTTGAAATCTTCATTGACTCTGGCAACTAAGTGTCGACAAAGTTACAGTAGCATAATATCATCTGTAAAGCCCTTGCTTGTGTTATTGTGAAAAGAATGGTTTATATTGCAGATACACTTCTTTAACTGATTAATTTTACACTTACATTTTTATACATTCTTCCTTGTTATTTCAGCATCCAAACTCTTAGAAGAAAAAAGAGATTAATTGACAAACGCTAGAGCAGCTAGTTATATTTTACGCCATATATTAATTGGTATGGTTCCGTATTTTATTATATGTTTTTAGCTCAAAAATGCCAGGATTTTAGCGTTAGTCTTTATATTTTTGCATTCCCTAAGTGTGTATACCAAATATTTTATTAAGTGCCTTGTTTGTTTTAGATGTAGATTTTAACTGATTTATCATATACATATCTTTGTTGTCTTATTTTACTTTATATAGAATCCTTACTCATTTCTAGAAACCGTGATTTTGCTTCTCTGTTAAATGTTTTACTCTTTGGATCATAAAAGGCCGGCTACGGATGTAGAATATATTTAACCTTGGTTCGGGAATTTTTATCAATATACTCCAATACATTTCTTCCACTTGGGCATTGCCTTTAAGATATTCTGTACCCACTGTTGTTTATATTTCATGCACTGTTATTGAATCGATAAAATATGAAAACTTAGACAAAAGTGTATATTTATATTATTGGTGTGGTTATCGACAAATCTGTATGAGATTGTGTTGTGTTATTTGAATAAATACATTTATTGTATAATTTTTTATTTCTGCCCGCTGGAGTAGTTGGAAGACGGGAGGGGGGTTATAAAATATAAAATTATATATTTTTCCAACGAATTGAGACTATACTTCAAACTTCAACTGGCCAGTTCACAACTTATTATTATTTTTTTTCGGTTCTATGACTGTACAGTTTTCCCTAGTTAGATATGGAATAAAGTACCCAACGATTTTATTTTTCCCCCAAGAGACGTAAAAACCCCCCACTATGGCAAGCCTGTCACAGCTATCTTTCTCCTCGTAATTAGGAATCTACTTTGACAACGTTAGCGCCCCATAGATGGCGCTGTAGCCAACTATATATGAGCATATGGCTGCAGCACCATCTACAAGACACTTACCTTTCCAAAGTAGACTTTTAATTATTGCGGAGATGTGACGGTATCTCATTGCATCTCGGATAGTTTTCCGAAAGCGAGAATATGGTATAAGATTGGCTATCGACGTTAGTCAATGGAAAAACCAAGTTAATAAATTATGGAGTCTGCTTCTGAACATTTCATTAGTTCTGAAATACATATTTTGCTGTCTTCTCGATGATTAAACGATTTTGGACGCTCTGAAACCAATTGGGAATAGGCAACATTACAAGAAGAAAAAGATCGCCGTTTTATTTTCATTACATTTAGTATATGGTACACGATTTTATATTATACATTCCCTGTGATATACGACAGATCCAACCATTTACTGCGTATACCAGTCCGGTAATATAAGGCGTATTCTTTAATTCACCGGTGCAAGCAATTAACCAATTTTTCGTCTTTTAATTTCCGTCTGAGCGACCGGTTGTACACCAAACTTGTCTATATAGTTTATAGACAAGTTTGGTGTACAACCGGTCGCTCAGACGGAAATTTTGGTTGCATCGGTGGCTCAACCGGTGAATTAAAAAATACGCCTATATTTATGCACAAGATGAGCAGTGTATTGTGAACATATATTTAATACAGGTATAAACCAGGATCTTCATCGTCGATGTCTACTACTCTCTGAACAGGATCTCTTGTCACGAGATATTGACGCGTGTATAGCAAAGCGATACTGCAGAAAAACAACACTATGGGTAAAAACAGCAACCTGAAAAAAACCTTCAACTGATAATCATTTAAACAAAAAAATCAACAAACTGAGACACCTTTTGATTAATGAGTTTGTTTTTCCAATATATCCAGACTGATATCGTTTCAAAAATTTACAAAATGCGATGATATTTTTTTATTTTTTTGGAAAAAATTGCTACTTTCTCCATTTCAATTAAATTTTTACACCCTGTATAAGCCAAACGCATCATTTGTAACATAATTGTGACATATAAATCCGAACACCCAGTTTAAATGGTTTTATTTTAATAAAATTTTGTATAAGTACTTAATGAAGCATAATAAGTAAATGATAAAAATTTCAAAATGATTGCACTGCTTTAAAGCCCTTTGACCTTTAATAATGTGTGGATGCACCCTGATGTGCTACGCATTCTCCAACGCGCCTAGGCATGCTTCTGATCAGGTGGTCAATGTCCTCCTGTGGTATCTCATTCCAGGCAACCACCAACTCCTCTCGAAGTGCTTCTAGAGTCTGAGGAGGACGTTGCAAATTGAGCAATCTCCTACCCATCATATCCCACACGTGCTCAATTGGGGATAAGTCGGGAGATCTTGGTGGCCATGGTAACAACGTGACATCGTTATATTGAAAGAAGTCTATTGTGACTCTTGCAACATGTGGTCGGGCATTATCTTGTTGGAAAGTTAGATCTGCCAGGGTGACAAGATAGGGTAAAAGATGGGGTTCTAGAACTTCGTGGATATAACGCTGCGCGTTCATGTTACCTCTGATGAAGATTAAAGGTGACCTGAAACCATAAGCTATAGCACCCCAAACCATAACTCCAACAGTGTGATGAACATGTCTTTCAACAAAAAACTGTGGATTCCTCCTTTCACCACGTCGCCTTCTAACCCTTACACCGACGTAATCGCCTTGAGTGGTGCAGACAACGGTCACTCTGGGATCAGGAATGGAACAGTATTGTCTTTAGTGACGAGTCTCGATTTTGTTTAGGCATGCACGATGGTCGTGCCAGGGTTAGAAGGCGACGTGGTGAAAGGAGGAATCCACAGTTTTTTGTTGAAATACATGTTCATCACACTGTTGGAGTTATGGTTTGGGGTGCTATAGCTTATGGTTCCAGGTCACCTTTAATCTTCATCAGAGGTAACATGAACGCGCAGCGTTATATCCACGAAGTTCTAGAACCCCATCCTTTACCCTATCTTGACACCCTGGCAGATCCAACTTTCCAACAAGATAATGCCCGACCACATGTTGCAAGAGTCACAATAGACTTCTTTCAACATAACGATGTCACATTGTTACCATGGCCACCAAGATCTCCCGACTTATCCCCAATTGAGCACGTGTTGGATATGATGGGTAGGAGATTGCTCAATTTGCAACGTCCTCCTCAGACTCTAGAAGCACTTCGAGAGGAGTTGGTGGTTGCCTGGAATGAGATACCACAGGAGGACATTGACCACCTGATCAGAAGCATGCCTAGGCGCGTTGGAGAATGCGTAGCACATCAGGGTGCATCCACACATTATTAAAGGTCAAAGGGCTTTAAAGCAGTGCAATCATTTTGAAATTTTTATCATTTACTTATTATGCTTCATTAAGTACTTATAGAAAATTTTATTAAAATAAAACCACTTAAACTGGGTGTTCGGATTTATATGTCACTTAGTATATATAAAATAAATTGATTGAAATAGATACGAAATTCTCGTCAGAGATGCAACTGACTTCAGCACTGCTTCGCTGTAGGAGCATATAAGTGCTTTCCGCGATTACACTATGCTTCCTCGCCAACTGGCGTGGGAGGTAAAAAATTGTTGAAACTGCACAGAATAGGCCACTTCGAAAATCAAACAATTTTTCTGCTATCAACTTCCTCATACAAAACCACGTTTTCTCTACTTACCAGTAGGAGAACCCAAGGTACGCCTTTTTGTCAGAGTCCAATTGCCCATTAAGCGTGTAAAATACTCCAATATCATGGAGTATTATCAAATTATACATGGTGCCCCACAGACACATCGCTATAACTATAGCGATGATAGCTACGGAATTGTAAATGTACATGCCCAATATCCCGAAATACCATTGTATGGGAGAAGAAACTGTGTTGTAAAAACCGAGGAGTGTTGCTAGAGAGCCAAACGCCAACGCTACTGCTAAAAACAGGATGGTAGAGATCCATACTCCTGCATTGATGAATTTTTTGTTATCTGAAAGAAATTGAGATGACAGTATTGTTTGCTCAAAGATGCTATAAAATTACTCATTTTTCACCTAGTATTCCTCTTACACCGAAACGCCAAGGCCATATTTTGATACACGGCAGCACCAACGTGACAGCTAGTGACGGCGGACACCAAAATCGATATTTAGGGAGTCATTCTGCCATCGAAGCGGCTATTTATCTCAAATCACCAATCCAGACAGAGCGCGAGCCTTCATCGAGGCTTGCTAGATGACGTTTGATGGTTCTGGATGGCTGTCGAATGCTCTCTAACGTGAACGCACTCCATGCACGGTCGCGTAATTCTGGTTGCATAAGCGTCGATGTTGCGAGGGCGTCTCATCCTCACTCAAAGTCCAAGTTACGAGTACATAACAGTATGAATGTCAACAACCAATAAAGTTTATTTTACCGATTATGAATTTTGAATATAATTCCAGATTACTTGACAGTCTTTCAGCTGACTTACGATTTTGGTCTTCATGAAGGTTGGGTGTGATCGGCTTGGAATGATAAACTGCGGTGCCTCTAACTTGTGCACAACTCTCATCATCTTGGCGAACTTCTTCATTATTGTACAATTTTTCCAGAATCGTGGCTGTGTCTTGACCGCAAAGCATTGCGCAGATATTTTCTTTGTACAAACATGTCACTTAAATAAAAAAATGAAATACGTCAAGTAGCATGTCTCTAGTTTACCAGCAGCGGCTTTAATTCAAAAAAATTTGGTACCTACAATTTTGCGAAATCTTATTTTTCTAGTGGAATTTGAACCAAAATATCAGATTTGTCAACTGTTATATAGAGCGTTCCAGAAAGGATTTACGATTTACAAATCAAATTAAAAAATGCAAGATATTTTACATAAAATGTTTGATATGAGGCATTAGGTTTTATGTTTTCTCGAGGTATCTCATCCCAAGCTCGCTGTGCTTGGATTAGAAAAGATGATACCGTTTTTGAAGAACGCAAACGTTTTTTAACAATAATGAATCTGTGATAGACTTTTGCTCTTTTATTAAAATATTTAACCAGTTCGATAAGCCCTGCTGTTTGTTTCCTCCTTCTTAGGTTCACTTGCCGTTTGATTTTCGCCTGCGATAGTAAAGAAGAGCCTCCTGAAAAGAGGACATCTGGTAACCCTTATGACAGTACTTGTTGGATCGCCCTCGTATTATTCATTAAAAATCCTCTGAACTGGTGAATACAAAAAATGAAAGTGTATCCCTGATTATTTGAAATCGTTAGAAAACGTGTATCTCATGGCTACATCTACTACGTGAGCGGTGGTTTACGTGACGTATTTATCTGATACGTAAGTCTTAAAAAATAAAAAACCCAAAAAATCAACAATACGAAGTGTTACGAAGAGATTATTACTCCAAATATCATGATCGACGCTGCTGTTGCGTAAAATGATTCGATTGCGAACTAGTTCATTTTAGTGAACGCGACCTATCGAACCACTTCACCGAAACGAACTAGAAAGCACATCACTACTACCTTGGGATGAGGTACCACAAGAATACATAAATCACCTCATCAGAATTTAAGCATGCCTGAAAGGTAGAAAACTTAAACGCGACTTCTTGCTTATGTATATCTGTCCTCAAACAGAGTAATTTTTACTGGGTGTAAGGTTTTGTGGCATCTTGGGCGGAATTTCAACCCCCACGAACATTGTCATAAGTCACCTCCACCACGTATCCGGCCCCAAACCCCTCCTGCCTTAATGTATCCTTCCTGATTAGATTGTAATATTTGCTTATTGTCCCAAAAATACACAAAAAGTAAAAAACTAATGAAACAGATTCAAGATATTGATGCCCCCCCTAAAAAAGTCAAGAAACGCATACGCTACCCTGGAAAATGGCCATATCCATATTCCCGATGAATGGAAAAAACTAGTACGTTCAATTTCAAAAAAGTTTAAGTTGTAAACGTTGATCAGAATAAGATCATAGATTTAGCAACACATCTTAAAACTTTTTCAAATCTGCTCTTGTTAGCGAAGAAAAAGTTAAGTTCAGCATATCAACCTACCGACTTTTCCAGTATCAAAAAGGATTAAAATATGTACAATGCGGTATTGCAACATTCATCCCAGTTTTTACAAGGTGTTATATTGAAAAAGAAAATGTGGCTTTCCAAATTCACATACGATACAACCCTATCCTTTGCTGCTTGATGAAAAAAAGGCTGTTAAACTTTTATCAACAAAATACATATCGGACGCCGATCTATGGTACTTTCGAAAGAAAAAAAAAATGTTGAAGTTCCACAATAAGTACAGGTGATGATGCTTATGACTCCGATTCATCATCTGTAGAATTGAAGATGAATTTTTGTTACTACTTTTGACTATTAAAATTGTTTGCAACTCATTTTTCCAATATTTCAATATATGTTGGGACAAAAAGCTAAGTCCAAATTTTTAACAAAAAACAAAAGTTTGAGTTCATGTTTTCATGTTATTTCATATTACAATATATAACAAAAACAATGTTGTCACCCTTCTGGGTCTGATACCCGCACCCCCTTCCTACGCCCCTGTTTCTATTTTCATTGACACTGCGTATTACTATTAATCATTTGTAATGTTGACACTTCGGCGCAAAGTACTTACTGGAAATTTGCAAAATAGAGTTAGTAGAGACCGTTTGCTGGAACGTTCCTTGAAACAACCCATAACGAATAGTACTTAGAGGTGCGTTCAGCTGAATTGTCCACCTGGCAGAATCCGTCACCACCCATTGTTCTGTAGCTAAGCATAGTATTACTAAAGCTACGGCCACACCCGAGGCCACCGCTGTACCAAACAAGTACAGCCTTTTGGGTTTCACCACCATTCTTTTAGGTTATTTACCGTGGAACTTCACATAATGTTATGTACCTTTAATATACGACTATCTGGCTTATCGTATTCGTATGAGAGAAACGTTTTATCTTATCATTGCATTTGATATTTAATGTCGTTATTGAGCCTTGGACGGCGGAGCACCGCGTTTTCGCCTATGATTGTTTCGTCCGAAATAATGAGTCAGTCATCGTCGTACAGCGTGAGTTTCGTCGCCACTTCAACATTCATCGGAATAGAGCTGTTCCCTCTCGAAACACCATCCTTCGTTGGGTTGAATCACTTCGCAGGCGTGGTTGAACTGATCAACAGACGACCAAGAGGAGCGCTGCGAACAGTTCGAACTCCTGAAAATGTTTAACGCGTTCGACAGGTCTTTCTTCGCAGTCCGACTCGATCTGTCCGACGTGTGTGGTTCCAGCAGGATGGGGCGACCGCCCACACAGCCCGAGCATTTTTTCTTATGGGGACACCTCAAGGCTAGAGTATACGCGAACAATCCCCGAACTCTAGACGAATTGAAGGGCGAAATTCGCGTGGAAGTCGCCCAAGTTGAGAGAGCGATGTTGGAGAGAGTCTACGCGAACTTCCAAGAACGCCTCCAGCACTGCATCAACGATTTCGGCCACCACATGCCTGATGTGATTTTCCACACTTGACTGTCTCAAATGCTATTTCCTTGTTAACCTGATTCCATCAATAAATTTGTTTACGAGTAAAAATTAACTATTTTATGATTTTTTTTAAAACCGTCCATCCTCTCTGCCGCACCCTGTATTATGCTTATATAAGATACAAGTTAGAGTATGCATCCCTAGTATGGAATCCCTACTATAACTGTTATATAACTAGGATAGATTATGTTCAAAAAAAGTTTCTTAAATATCTAGCTTTTAAGTGCGATAGAGTCTACCTTCAACGTGGGTCGGATTATCAAATTCTGTTAGACAGATTTAAAATGACGTCTTTGATTTGAATGTGAGAAGGAAGCACAGTTCTGTTATTTTTTTTGTTTAAACTCTTGGATGGAACTATAGTTTCTTCGGAATTGTTATCACAACTACAGTTTTTAACGCCAAGATCCGTTTCAAGATGTAATGTTACTTTCTTTTGCATTCGTGCTAACACAAATTTGATTTTGAAATCATCTGAAAGAGTTATGTGTTTGAATTATAATAGTATCTGTACGTTTTGTGATATATTCTTATGTTCTATTTCGGAGCTGAAATGTGTTTTGCGGGAGCGCCTTAGATAGTTTTATAAGTTAAGCTTTTGTAATATTTCTAATTTAAGATTTTTGCCTATAAATGAAATATTATCTGTTGGGCAATAAAAGCTATAAATAAATAAATATCGGCAAGAATTGTAATTATTGAAAACGTCTCCTAAAACAAATTCAAAAACCATGTGCAAATGTCGGCTCGTTTTCTAGATAAATCTGTTGATGGATTCTGAATCTGATGTCGAGATCTGCGAGTGACCACCAGGCAGTTAATTATTTACCAAAAATTCTGTGCAAAATGTCAATTCCAGCAACCCTTGGCAAAACAAAAACATATAAGCTTCAAATAAATTTTAATCAGTATATCATCTAAACTATCATTTTCTGATGCAAATTACAACGTATTGTATGGAAAATCATATCATTAAAGCAAAAATGTTCTCTAAACATCAATATTGATATCAATGTCAAATGGAAAAAGAAGAAGAAAGGCGACAGAATTCAGTGCTTTATAATTAACGAAGGCCCCTATTAATTACATGTGAGTATATGCCGCTATTGTAACTTATCGCCTTACAATGACCACAGAATGCTACATTATTGATGTGATTAACAGAAAATCCTATATTTGAACAGAGTGAGGTCTACAAAAAAAAGGGAGTAGATATTGAGACGGTACTTCCCAAGAATAGGTTAAAAGCCTATTAAAACTATGGGCACACGAAAATTCCTGCTTGTTAGCGATAAGGGAAGTATGAGAAATTTAAAAATTGTCAAGCCTCTAAATTTCTTTGATTGCGTCCTAGAGTGCATAACGTCATATAACAAAGTTCGGAATTTCTCAAAAGTTCTAACCCAAAAAATTGGATCCAAAGTTCTTCAAAAACTGAAAAACCAATTTTAAAAATCCTCAAAGCTCTTTTGTCCTTGGCAGGGTAATAACCTAATGCAAAAAGGTCAAATTCTAAGTTAAAGAATTGTCAAGAAAATACCACGCAGACAGACCTGTCGAAAATGAGCGACATGATCTTTTGTGGTGTACATGTCATAAAACAAAATCTCTTGATTTTCACATTTTGTCGCCATTATGCTCCTCCTAGGCGATTGGGGTGTATTCAGAAGATGATTTTTCAAATAAGTAGCTCAATTTTGGTTGACTCGCCTCGTTGTTTTGACACTATTGACAGTCAAAGACGTAGGTTTTTCACAAAATTGTAGATTAGTTGGGGAGCCCTTGAAAATGTTTTAACATCTGCGGTTGTGCTTTATTGAAAACACTAATAGCGACTTCCTCTCTGACAAACAAAGTTAAGGATATGGATATCACAGTCTAATCAATTTGGCGCATTTTGCTTCCGAAATAACAAAGATTATGTGTGTTAAAACATCGAAAACATAAAAAAAGAAATAGAAGACAAGTACTCACGATTGATTCGATAAGGAATTTTAAGTTCTGTCCTGTCACACTTTTTATTCGAAAATACTGTCTGTAATCTGACGTCGTGCGATTCAAAAACACAAATCTGTTAAACTTGCCACATTTGTGGTTATCTAAGTATTCTATTTGCACCTCGACGGCATTTGCACGATATAAACCAACCTATGCAGCTCCGGATGGAAACATCCAGGACAACGATCTGAAGTAGCAAAGGCATCCTGTAGACGTCCACGGCTCATATCAAACCAATAACTGTGTAATTTCTATACGAATGAGGAATTTACTCATCTTTTCAGACGTGTAATCCAATTTTTTAGACTTTGTAACTTCTTCTGCAACTCCTCGTCCGTCTCGAACCGTTGACGGTCTAGATGCTCCTTCAATTTGGGAAACGGAAATTGCTAGGTGCTATGCCAGGGCTGTGAGGGGGAAGGGCAATGAATTCCCAGCCAAATCGCTTGAGTCTTTGGTTTGTTGTGAGACATACAGCTTTTTCAGAAACGTCGGAAATTTTAACCGGTAGTTCCAGAGTTAGAGCAAGATCCACAACTTCCTCGGAGATCGACGACCTCCCGCTCCATTGTTCATCGTGGATGTCGGTGCGGATGTTGTATGAGTCTGTACATCATTTGTTAACATGTTGAATGCTTATACACGTTTTCCCATATACTTCATTCAATTGGCGATGAATTTCTATGGGTGGTAACTTTTTTGCGTGCAAAACTCGGATCACCGCACCTAACGGTAATGGCGATGAAGTTCTCCACTGCGCATGTCCGACGGGCCGGTACTGAGCGCAGTGTTGCCAGATGGATATTTCCCTCAACAGAAGGACAAGACCAAAAAAAACAGGAGATGTGCCTATACCAACAGTAGATTGTAATAAATATGTATATTGTTTCATAAAACATAAAATAGACACAAAGAAAACTAAATAAAACATGCTTCTAAGTAAATAAAGACAGCCAAACAATCATATAGCAATAATATATAAAAATAAACGTTGGCCATATAACTAATAAACACTAATTTATCCAAATCAAAATAGTAATAATATACAATAATAAAAAGGAACTTTGACGATGAAACCAGTAAATACTAATCATTCTGAATCTGAATCAGTCAGTTCCAAGTTTTTCATATACATTTCAGAATTAAGTAACTTCAACATCCCTCTAAAATCAAAAGAATGGCATGATTGTTTTTTGATCTCAAGAAGGTTTTGCCATAAAGTAGCAATACAATACTAGAAGTAGATTTCCTATTCCTGTTCTTCGACTTTCAAACAGATCAGTCAATAATCACTATTCAAAAACTGACACCTATTACATCATACAACTAAGAAGTAATCGTAACAATACACGTGTACAAAAATGAATTATCGGGTTATCGCAGCGGATTCCCTGACGGATTTGCCATCTGTGAGCGATGCTAGCGCTTGGTTTGGTAAACGTAAATAAGTGATTCACCTAGTTTAACAACGGTTAAATAGATGGCGAGACTGATGTCTCTAGCTATTTTTAGGGTTTACTGGGAGTGGCAGGTGAGAAGTATAAAAAACCTATTGTCGTTATAACAGGACATTTTATAGTAAAAACAGAAGAACAGTAGCATCGAGGTAAAAACAATAGATCTCCTGTTAAAACAGTAGATCTGATAACACTGACTGAGCGTCACAAATAGCCGCTTGTTGTTAATATCAGTGATGGGGGAGCCGACAAACAGAACCTTATTTTTGAAACAACCCTCGTATTTGGCTGATGATGTGTCTTGGCACAAGCACCTCTCGTTAATTGCTGCACTATCAGCAGCTTTCCACTAGCCAACTCTTACTCTATACCAACAAGTTTGGAAGAGGCCATGCGATCGAACAATGGTTTCCCTTAACAAACGGTTACATACATCTGTTTACGATTTGTATTTCATGTTTTGTGCTGCGATACTTTGGAATATATTCTGGAAAGCGCAAACGAGAACTGACAACGTCGCAAAAAGAGGTACAGTGCGTGCAAGCCCAAAATCGGGAGATACGGAGATTTCGTAATGAATCGCTAGAGGGCTCATACTTGTTTCATGCGCGCGTTAAATCTATTGCGGAAGATTTTCATGCATCCTTGAAGAAATGAGTGAAATAAATTCAGTTTTATAGCATCTTTCACACTAACTCTCTCGGTAATCTGAGTCTTCTACCGATATTCCAACGGACTTCCCTTATCGCAATTCTCATCCAGGATACCGTCACGCTCTAAACATTCCAAATACACCGGCCAAGCATTTACTTTTCATTCTAGCTCTGCACATCGAGAACTGACTAATACAAATCCTTTCTTAAGAGCGAAGATTGTGTAGATATCTAGAAGAAGAGGAATTTCACAGATTTGACAACCTTGCCAATACAAAATTCAGACCGTCAAGTTAGCTCAATCCACTCCTATAGCGGTTGCGACAATTCGGTATCTATAAAGAAGCATTCAAAAAAATTAAAATTTA